TTTAACCAAAGACCGTTCAATATACAGATAACCCAATGATTATCACGCCCAGAGCGAGGAACTACCTTTAGTTAGTTTCGTTCAATTTAGTACAGTTTTCTCAACGACTGCAGAGGTACTCCTCATGTTCTTCCCCTTGGCCTGGATCCCAGGGGTCAGTGAATTCTGATTGTGCTTAGCCCTGATGAGTTCTTGTGTTGCAGAAGAATAGTAACTCCCTGGCTCATGCCACTTTAACCGTCATGGACCCTGGGCTGACCTTCTAGCTTCAACCTCAAACAACAATTTACAAATGACTGCTACAGAGGGCTCATAGCAATTAACCCATGATCAGAGTCCGTGACGATGACCTGCTGCTAATTCATGGCATCTCTGGCCAAAGGGAAAAGGGTTCTCACACAGCAACACACAACATTCCCATAATATGAGATTTCGTCTAAGAGAGGTATGGTGCTGTTAGTAGCAATAAACGTCACCCGATTGCGAGCCGCGGCACATGGTGCTCTTTTCACCAGTGCGCAGAGAATATTATCTGTTTGCCACCTTTTGAAGTCCCTTCTACCTAGGCACTGAGTTTTAACGCTACCTATAAGTGGCCCAGAGTTTAAGTGATCTGCCGGCCTTTACCCACGCACTGGGAGCTTCTGGCTTACCAAACTTCCCAATATGACCGCTTGCAGAACTGGAAATGGTTCAAGCGGATAGTGCACAAAATACAGGTTGATGGCCACGGTGCAGTGGTGGGTAACCGCACGTGAGTCTCATCAATCCCCCGATTTGGACAACACACTAGTTCAGAACTTCCCAAGGCTAGCCAGAAATATATTCTTCGAAAAAGAGGCAGCAAGGATTGTTGAGCGATCATTATCAGACTGAGTTTGGAGGTGACTTATGACAGCTTGTCAACTTCATTATTACCTTTCACGTACCAGCATACACAACACTAACTTAACCCATAACTCTGAGCCTTGACTTCGATCAGTCCCCATTAACGAGGTATTTGACCAAGAGATAAGCAACTGTTCTCATTAATTTTCGTTTGCCCATCAAGGTAAGAAATCAAAAGAGAAATTTATGGAGTACAATTGGATCATTCATTCACACAATCCACGGTTCTCACTCGCGTTTAATTTCCACCACACATTCCACACCACCAGCCTTTACATCACCATGTGTTTACCCGAGAATCAATAAACGTGCGCTTTAGTTGGCACTCCATAGCTGGGGGTTAGCTCAACAGCACTCGATAAGTACACCAGCAGTACTCCATTCATATGAGAGAACAACAATTAAAAAGCCGAAAGATTGAGCCCGCTGACCCGCTGCTTCGACCAAACACGCTAACCAAACGCTGAATCAGCCTACCTTCAAAAGGAGTTATACCTTGCCCTTCATACTAATTCAATGCGTTCGAGTATAGGTCAGACAGTATGGACTCACCTCACCCATGTCGATGCACCAGAACAGTCCCGCTGACAAACACTACTAGGTTCAGTCTCAATACTTCGTTTCAAGATAGCAAGGTTACTCGCTCATAGTCCTCCGTCAATAGGCTTGAGCCATAGTTAGCATCAACACTTACGTCAATTCTGACGGCACGGTTAAACAGATGTGTCATCAAAAAAGACAGACTTAAAATGTTTTTGTCAGAGCTCAACGCTTGACTTGACTTTAACTGATTCCACATGGTGAGGATGAGACGGAAGAGAATCGCTCCATGATTCGATAGAAGCCAGGAGCTTAGTGCGGCAGACACCACTCTAGCCCACGTGAAGCACCCTGGAGATGGAAATCTGACCTTCTTCCCCAAAGTGCGTACTAGTGATGACTAGTTAGCTCGTCCTCCCCCCCCTTCTTATCAAGAGCGAGACAAATAAGCACGCGCAAGCCTAGCCGATTGAGTCTGGATCAGACAACGTCATCACACGCGAAAACTCACTCAGCCACACGTCACGAAAAGCAGTTCTCCTGCCAGAAGTACCAAGGCCCCCGGTAGGAGAGATGTGAATCACTTGGCGAATTCACAAGATCCCATAAACCTCGCTCACTCAACAGTCAGTGCTCGTAACTGGACAAGTTATTTGGAACAGCGGAGTCACTGCAGACATGCCAGTGGAAAACTCTCGACGGAGAAGACGTCAACAAAAAAAGTGTTGAACCTCTCCGCGACATCAACAAGAAGCCACCAATTGCCTTTTCCTCACCAGCGTGCTGTGCACGAGCTCCCACCTTTCTTGGAGTGCCCGTTGGAAGCTTGCGTTGACAATAATTGTCGGCTCTCTTGTTATCCCCTGTAACAATGGCTATCTGATCACACTTCCTCCCACACGCGAGCTTGGTACTCTGCTAGTTCAGGATGACCACACGTAGATCTGACCTCACCTCTAGCAAGCTCGCTTTGCAGCGCCCATCACAACTAATCCATTCTTGGATATCACCATCTGACCCAGCCACTGCAACGGAGTTAACTCTCGCAAGGACGAGGCTTGGCAACGTGTTCTCTCCTCTTCCCCTTGATCGTGACCACTTAGCATCTCTAAGTCACATTATTGAGAACATCCCCGACTGCGCTGGAAACTGACCCGCACAAGAATGACGTTTCTCAGAAAAAAAAAGAAAGAAAGAAAGAAAAATGGGCATGCGGTAATGACGTGTCATCGCATGTCCAGACAAACAGGCCCTTGTACCCAGAGTAATGGGGAAACAGGTATCCCTCTCTGGACGACAAACTAAAACGCGCGAGGTGGAAGCGAGGGCAACATCAATCAACACCATGCGCGCGAAAACCTCCCTCAAATCTCCTCTCTTTTCTCACCCTTTCCTCTTTCTTGCCAACTGTAGTCAGCTCGTGCATCACACGAACGCGTAGGTGGTGGTTGTCGTCAAACACATTGCGCGTGTGTCTCTCTCTCTCCTCCCGTTCTTTGACCTTCTCTTATTGCCTCAGCCTTGCCACGTGCAGCCTGCACACATGCTTAACTGCCCTCGCTCCTCTCTCTCTCACTGCTGTTGACCTCTCTTCTCTTTGCATGCTCCCTCAGACATGTATTTTCCCCCTCTTCTTCTTTTCACCCGTCGCGTGGCCTCTGGGCGTCAGTTGCCTCGAGCTAGCCTCGGGTCCCTCTTCCACCGGCTTCGCGGCCCGGTGATGCCTCTGGATCTCGCCTGGTCTATTCCAGGACCTGAGATCTGTCTCCCGATCTGCGTCACTCATCTCACTTTCCCCTCCCGAGTCTCTGTCCTGGTGGACCTGTTCCAGGTCCGCTGTGTCCATCGAGGTCTCAGTCTCGTGGTAAGCCACCGTTATCCGTAGCCTTGCCGTCACTCCGTCCCGTCTACAACGTCTCTCCGCTCGGTCTCTCGCCTCCGAAATCACGTCTTGCAGCTTCGGGTTGGTCCGCATCTCCCCCTCTCTTGCTCCCTCCACGCTGATCTTCAGTAGCAGTTCATCTCCACCGTCGTAATTGAGTATGACGGTAATCCAGGGCCCTTCCCCGGACACGGGCTTCCAACGGGCCTGGTGGTACCAGTACCCGGGCCTGTACCCATGCAATGCCATAGTCACTCGAAATAGCCAAGAACTTAGTCTTTAGGCACTCGCACAGAGACAACCCCTTACAGGCCCCGGCGCTCCGCTCTTTCCCTTGTCTCAGGCCCGCAGTGCTAGTACAGTGGAAATACTCTGCGACTAGCGTGCGTACAACTAAACTCTTTTCTCTTTTATAGGTCGTCACCCTGTGTTCTGAACGACAGCCCCGAACACTTTTCAAACTTCAGCACTCTAGTTTCTATAACTCCTAAAACAACTCCGCAGAAAAAAGAAATACGAGACACCAACGGTCAAACTCATCTCTGTAGGCTAGACACAGTGGTCTCATAATGGGTTACTAGTGGGCACTCGCCCTCCTTTAAAACCCACAGTCTGGCTTACTACCATCGGGTACCCGTGTCCGATGGTAAGGAGGGGGTTCATAACCTCCTATAGGGGGTGACGAACCTCCTACCAATGCGGCCGCGGGTCGCCCCTCTTTTGGGGCCTAACCGCGCGGCACTCAATCGACGCTCACTTTCAGACTAAATAAGTGTCGCCGGCCAACTAGGACCGCAGCTCAAAATCCGAACCGTTGGCCTCCCCATGATATGATAGAAACTGAGAAAAAGAAGGCCGCGCTTGAAAACTAGTGAAGTAATAATAACAATAATAATAATAATAATAATATTAATCGCCGAAAAGGAAAGGGTGGAGTCCCAGAATTTCTCCGCGCAGCACCCTTGCCTGAACAGCTACCCGCATTCACGCACAAGCCTAGCACCCGACTTTCAACCTTCTCCGTTCCTTTTCTTTCTTTTACTATTTTTCCTCCTTTTAGCCCTCACTGTATCTGCCTCTTATCCTGGCTATCGGGGTCCCATTGCGAGGTTCGGACGAACAGTTTTGGTACAAGCGACATAAAAAGGGGTAGGTAAAGCCCCAGACCATAAGACCGCAGTTGCAGTCCGAAAATCCAAATCAGCGGCTTTCCCTGCGAAATGACAGATCGACAGACAGTAAACTGAAAATAGAAAAATTAAGTAATAACAATAATAATATTAATAATAAGAATAATAATAATAATGATGATGGTGGCTATTCAAAATTGGAAAGGTGACCATAGCATCACAGTGACCTGAGGTCACCGGATTTCCCCATACAGAGACAAGTTTAAATTTGACGTTTTATTTTTCCTTTTCTCTTTTTTTTCTCCCCCGACAGCGACTTTTATCCCTTGTACCTAACCCATATCTGGGCAACAGGGCACTCGGCGCGCTGTAGAAAGGACTGTGCCAGTCCCTTCACCTTCGCGTCCCAGGGCGAGCCCGGCGGCTACCACGGCCACAGGCCGGTACTACTCTGCTGTACAGCAGGGCGCCGAGTCTGCGTGGACCAATGGAAGCCCTGTGGCACACCCCTTTTGCTGAGGGCTATGCCACTGGGACAGGTCCGCCCTGAGAACAGTCCTAGTATCAAATCCATCTATAGCACGAACCGCGCCTGGAGAACAACAAGTCGAGACGTGGAACTAGTACTGAGCAGGGATCCGGTACACAGAGGAGGGCCAGGACACCGCGCCCTCCGACAGCGCCGGCTTTTCCTCCTTCAGCAAGTTGGCATATTCCTGCAGGTCCAACCTTGCAAGCTCCCAAGCGCCTGCGTCCTTCCGGAAGTACTGTATATTCTTCTGCTTGCAAAGCTCTTGCACGCGAGTGTATTGCAAGGAGTAGTAGAACTCTTGACGCTGCTTCATGTAAGCGGCCAACCCTCCTTCATCATCTTCTTCTTCCTCGTCATTGGGTTCATTCTGAACCACATCCACATCTTCGCACCCCTCAGATTCCACACTCGCTTCTCCTTTGACCGACTTCAGCAGTATGACCGGTGCCTTCCCTTTGGTATTGCCGATTCCTTGTAAGAGTGCCACTAACATTGACTTGATATCCGCCAGTTCGCTGCTCGTGTCCATCTTTGGCTGAAGATTCTGCTTCACCGTACCACCCTCTTCTTCATCGGACGATACCACGATCCTCTTAGAGCGCGACTTGGTCTTGCTGCTTGCACTTGTGCGAGACTTCACGTGGTTCAAGCGAGGTGAGTTGGCTACTGGGGTACATTTCCCTCTTCTCTTCCTCTTCTCGTTACTTGTCGGGTCCTTGCATTCTTTCTCTTGCCGAGCTTTCGCCCCACGCAGGTTGTTGAGTTCTTCCTTCTCAGCTAGCGTCAACTTGGCTTTTTGATCCACCTCCTGGAGCTTCTCAGTGATTAGTTTCAACGAATCGCCCAGTGTTGCCGTCACCCAAGCTTTCATTTCCTCACTCTTATTAGCGGAACGCACCTTGTTGGTCGAGCGCACTTCCGATCTGCTACCTTCATCAGGCAGATCCTGATTTCGCAAGCCGCCACGTCGTCCACTAGCGATCTTCTTGCGTGCTTCTTCCACCGCTTTACTCATCTTGATATCTTCCAGGATATCCATGTATTCCTTCGTAAAATATGCCCGATTTCCAGGCCCAGGGAAAGCATTCGCAGTCGGGCCCTTTCCGATGCTGCTGCCATTCCCAGAGTTGTGTGGAACAACAACTGCTTGCTGATTCGACGATGTTTGATGCACTTGATTGCTCTGCTGCTGATTGCTTGCGGGTTGCGGATTAGGAGGCTGTCCCCACCACTGCTCGTTCACCGGCCACTGACCCGCATTCTGCCAAGGTGGCATACTCCAGGGGTTCCCAGCCGGGGCAACCGCCTGGTACTGCACTGGCGCAGGAGGCGCCATGTTCGGGACCGTAGTCTGCCCCATAACGGGCATTCAAGTTGCAGGAGGCGCTTGGAATGTCGAGGTGAACTGAGCCCGGTTCATCCCCGGCGGGTATACATCAGTCGCGAGGTTGCTGCTGCTGTACTCGACTGGATTCGCCGCTGGATTCGCGCCATTATTCTCCATCCAATAGCGTCCGCAGTTAGACTAGCGGCCCCGTCGCCCGCTTGCTTTTCCTCTTCCGCGTCCAGACATACAATAGAGTGCTATTCCGATAGCAACGCCGCACCCGAGGCTACAACCGAAAACCCAGCTCCCTTCAACTTTGCCAATAAGTCGGAATTCACTCCACCTTCCCCAGAACAACATACCCTGCCGGTTAATAATCTCCTCTTGACGACTGCCCACGTCGCCTCGCAGTGTGCTGGAGTGGTATTTTCGAACGACGTCCGGCAGCATCCCTTCAGGCAGTCCCGTGCGGGTTCGCCATACTCGACCCTGCCGCTGCGCCACGTGCTTCGTCGGTGATTAGCACCGACGCCCACTAATGAGCGATAATTAGTGGTGCAACAACGCCCGCTTGACCCAATCAACGATCCAAGCGAGGCTCGTGACAACAGTCCGTCCCTCTCAAACAGATAGGAGAGGCGAATAATCGAGAACTCGAAGAGTCTCGCTATTGAAGAGTAGAGAATATCATCAACAGGTCGACAAGTTCGTAAAATTCCTAGGAAATCAATGGCGAAAGTCGCAAGAATCAAGCACTTGCAAATCAAAGTATCGAAATTTTGAACAATAATAAGCACGGCTTCCAAACCCGTGCTTCTTCACAGAATAATATATTGAAATGTTGTCATATTAAAATATTAAATTATATTGGAATATCAAAGAACATCAAAGAACACAGGAACGAACGAAATGATAAGCACAACTTCCACCTCGCGACTTCTCCACCAAGTGAAAGACAGCCAACGAAGAGAAGTCGGCGCCCTAGGCTCATTCCCAAGCCACGACAAGGTCGAATCTAGGGTTCTAGATCATCAGAGAAACAATGGAACTCAAAATGAAGAAGATGACATGAGTTTTACTATCATGGCGAAATCAACTTTTCCACGACAACACCCTGATCTTACACGGCCAGGGTTCTCAACCCTTCTACTCATCCGCCACTCAGATTGAGGTAAGAAACTTACTGCGCCTACTATCCTAACCCCATACGAGTCTCAAGTGAATTCTGAAACTCAACCAATAATAATAATAATAATGTTTACTGCTCTTAGCAGCCTAGAGAACAGGATTCCGACTCGATTCATAACTTCGTCAAGCTATAGCGTAACAAATCACTGGTCCATTCGCCAGGTTCCAAATACGCGGTCCTCATTGTAGGATGCTTCCCAGATGCAAGTCAGTAAATCCCGCTCGGGATCTCAAAATTTTTTACTTCTTTTGTCCGACAGACCAACTCTGTTCATATGAAAGTCACGCCTTTGTGATTACGTCAATTTTTGCGTATTTATAGAAGGTCTGACGAACTTGTTTTCCCGTATATTGTCTGTACTTAGTCTTGAAAGGGCACCAAGTGCAGTGCCTCCGAAAATCGCCAAATCGTGCTTGGTATATCACCATCACAGGATCAAAATCTCTCACTGCTTTACCCGATATGACTCGGCGCCAGACTCCGACAAATTTGAGCATGCCCCCTCTCCCCGCGCCGTTACTTTCGGCGTGAGGACTCGTTTCCCATTTCCGACTATACTGGGGCGCAAATGGCCCCCAAGTCCATTAACGTATAAAATGCCCAAAGCGTGCTATGTCCAACATACCTTGCCAAAAGCTTGAGTTGGTCCTGCGCTGCATCCACTTCAGCGCAGCAATTACCGATTTCTCTAGGTAGTTGTTTTTCTTGAGTTCTTTGCTCAGTGTGAGGACGTTACAACATGCAAGCCCGTTTGTATTCGAGTTCTGCGAGATGCGCAGAATCGTATTGGCAATAATGACGAATTTACCTGTTCGAGGCCCGTATGAAGAAAAGTCTTTGTACGTCCGGAATTGAAGTGGGGTACTGCCCCCAATTGTCCTCACATTCTTACACTTATGGGACATCAGCAGTGCCTTATCTTCGCACACCAACAGTCTAGTTTCAAGGAAGTCCAAAACGCCGGTCCAAGGGTCCGTACGTTGAAGTTTCCCTTCAGTGCCTTGTGTGTCGCATAATGGTTCTCCCCTAGCTAGTTTCCTCTGGGTTGCGCTCTCCCTTAGTAGCGAGTAGGCATTGGGACCATAGCGTTATCCTAGTTTCCCTTCTTCGACTTTGATGAGTTGTGTGCATATTTCCCTTACCCATTGCATTTATCACATAGTTTCGGCCACTTCGTGCGTTTAGTTAGACATATCATCCTATTCCTGGTTCCCTCTTCATGGTAGACTATATATAATGTCACCATTGGTTTTGTTTTGTTACCTTCCTCCCACTAGCACCGCGAGCCTGACGACCTATTCACTTGTTTGTGGTGACTACCCCTAGCAGTTTTTTATTCTTAGACTGCATTTACCCCTTTTGACACCATCCCAGTCTCAGTTGTTTAACGACACGACATTATGTTTTGACACATTGCTATCTTTTATTTTCAGCACTGAGATAGTTGCCTTCAACACCTAAGGATTATATTATGGCACATTTGTTTTCAACACTTAGGCAGTTGGTATCTCTTATTTTCAACACTGAGGCAGTTACCTTTAACACTTTAGGCTGCATCGCATGGACCCCCCATGGAGCTTGCTCCGTATCCTCCCTCTCTCTCTCTCTCTCTCTCTCTCTCTTTCTCTCTCTCTCTCTCTCTCTTTCTCTCTCTCTCTCTCTCTCTCTCTCTCTCTCTCTCTCTCTCTCTCTCTCTCTCTCTCTCGTGCGCGCGCGCGTATATCTGGATATCTGACCAACAAAACGTAGAATCTTAAGTTGTCATTTGCTGTAGGTGATCGCCCACTATGGCCTGACGATGGAGCTCCGACAATGACATCCTTTAGGTGAGTTCTCCAGCTATGACACTTCTAGGTACCGGGTCCTCTTGAATTGCTCTATTGTTTTTGTTGGTTGCTATCATCCATTGGTGAGCGTCTTATTGCTCTCGCTTTAGTAATAAGGACGCTCAACTAATGAGAGTGTGTTTCAACAGCCGCCAATACCTTTCCCATCATTTTGTTCCAACGCAGTCAACTAATGTGTGGTCGCCCTCAAGACGAGGCCGAGTATAATGGAATGGTTAGTGGCGACAAGCAAGACAAAAAAACACACTGCCTTGTCGGCTCCGTTTTTGTGGGTGCACAACTGAAATCTGCTTCGGCTGAAGTGGCTTGATGGTACAGGTGGCATGTAAGAGGGAGCTACCCCTTGCAAGGGGGAATGGTGAGTTGTTTTTTTTTTTTTTTTTTTTTTCCCCAAATGGGGCCCAGTGTCGAAGGCGTAAGATTAAAAATGGTGCCTGAGGCCGGGGTCTTCATAGTTTACACGGAAAAGGAATGCCAATTTGGGAGCCTTACCCAGTTTCCCTTTTTACAAGACCCAATCTGGGACTCGAGAACAGAACACAACCCTTCCAAGTTTAGCAAGTTTCACCTTTAGTTGATACAAGAAGAGGAAAATCCAACTAAGTTTATGTTAACCTTCTAAAAAATCTATGTCTCAAAATTCCTAGCTAAATCTATGTTAACCTTCTCATAAATCTATGTCTCAAAATTCCTACCTTGTCCAAGAATAAAGTTGATGAAATACGCCAGAAGCAGCTATGTATGTTCCTAGGCCGATTTGGCAGGAAATCGTATCCAGCGTCCCTCCACTAATTTTCCACATGAAAAACTCCGAAGTAGCCTTCCCCGTAATTTGTAAAGTTCTTCTAAATTTCTATCTTTATGAAACTCTATTACCGTAAAAGGCTACTTCATAAAGGTGTTGTCTGGGTATAGTCTGAGAAATTTGATGTAAAAAAAAAACATCCTTTTATAAATGGCTAATTTTCCATCAAAACTAATTAAGATTGAAAACGGGTTGAGGAAATATATTTTCTATATTTCATGGGTTCCCTAGGATGGAAACCGGGTCTAGTGTCCCTTGCTAATTGCTATTAACTCACAGGTCCCCCTGACGTCAGAAACCTCGGGGTACTGGTAGCGCCGTTTCACGACGGGTACCGGTCGTACAACGTGGAAAACCGGGCGGGCCTCCGTACGAAATTTGCGACAAAAAATGGAAATAAACCGAATCGACACGGTGAATATTTCACCGTCAAAATGATTTTTTTTTCCTGATATTTTTCCCTGAAAGATCACGACCTAATCTACGGACCCTCAAAGTTTCAGACATTTTCATGATTTCTTCTGAGCACAAAAAATCGGCCAAGTTGCCGCTTGCAAAATGGCGGGATTGGACCCGTCGGCCTCCGTACAACCCGGCGCCTCAGTACGATCGCCGCCCCTCAGTACAACCCGGTCCTAACTCACAGGGACTGAGGTTTTCGGTGGCGGGGGGACCTGTGGTTTAAACTACAAGACAGAGGGCAAAGGCGGGTTCAGAGTCGACCCAAAAGTCGCGAGGTCATGCAAATACCAACCAACTTCAAACCTTTAACTTACCTTCCGGCGTGATTGTAGCTAGGCCGTTGTTTCTAGCCCAACTCTGTCTGAACCAGTACGTGCCTTTTCTTGGGTGTGTTCTAGATGTTTGCCAATTCGCTCTCATGGCCAACCTGATCAAGGTTTTGACGAGGGCACCTTGGTTCATGAAGGATGTTTTATCCTTTTCAAAAGTAGCTTTGTTTCTAGCTTTCCGTAGAGATTCTAGCAGAGCTCCTCTACAAGACAGGGCCACATAGCCCCATCCTCTGGTCAAATATTAGCCAGCCAGACATTTACCGAACAGAGTTCATTCATGGGACCACTCAAATTCCCCCTTGGTGAGTCTGGTCTAGTGCACCTGCCACCATTCCCAAATTGAAGGGATAGGGGGTAGTGGAGCCATAAGTGGGTGGCATTTCCGCAGCCCCGGTGGCACCTGAAACACTGTTATGAGATCTACATCCCTTTGGCGGCAAGCCACGTGGAAGGAGGAGTGACCAACAGTGATTGCTGCCACATTAGGCTTGCCTGTTTTGGGGATGGTATCAGTTTGAGAGTCTTCCAGATTTTG